TGGGATTCCACATCCCCAGAGCCCAGATGCTCCCCCTCACCTGGGGCAGCAGGATGCCCAGCAGCACCCCAGCCATGATGGTGTAGTTGTCCAGGAACCAGATGAGCACGGCGTTGGTGCAGCCGCGGACGTGGATGATGTGCTGAACGCTCAAGCGCTGCAAAACACCAGGGGCAGGGGGGCTCAGCAGGGGCTGCACTGCTGGGACAGGCTGGGGGCACCTCAAAACTCTGGCAGCCAGATGTGGTCTGCCCTCCCACCCCCTTAAACCCACTGAGTTTAACCAAAACCTCATCAGCAACTCCTCCATCTGTCGTTAAGCTGCTCCACTCCTCAGCAAACCACTCTATTTCTTAAAAGTTATTCTACATCCAAATGAGTAACTTCATTGTCTTAAACCTGTTAGTTGCAGCTATTTTTCAACAAATCAAATTTTTCAACCCAATCCTCATTTAAGACCACTTGAAAAGCAGAGAGGTCTCTCTTTAGCTTTCATCTCTGCTCCCAAGTTGAAAACACATCAGTGGAAAAACATAAATTGTTTGCAAAAAGACCCAATAAAGGACAGGAACAAGAGGATTTGGGATTCAGTGCTGCAAGCTGTGCTGCTCCCTGACCCCAGCCCATAATATAAAAGCACTTGAGGCTGCAGAGGGCCCTAAGCAGTGAATGGGGTGAGGTTAAGCAGGAGCTGGAGTGCTGTGTTGGAGCCTGGCTGCAGCGTTCAGGTGATAAAGCCACAAATCAGTGAACCTGAACGCAGACAAGCTGCATTTAAAGCTCACCAGTAATCCCAAAAACCAACAGCCCGGGCTGGCTTTGTGCTCCAAGTGCCTCAAAGGAGCTGGGGAGAGGAGATTTCCAGAGATTTCCCTGCTTCCTCCCAGCAGTGCAGAACTCAGGGCAGACCCAATTAACAATTTCCCTTCTTAATCACTCTGCAATTACTGCCTGGAGCTGGCAGTCCCTCCTTGGAGTCTCTGGGACTGTTCCCAATAGGGGAGGGTGAAGGAGGAGGCAGCCAGGGAAATCCCACTGCTCCTCCAGGTGTGCCACCTTAAAATAAAACACCTACTCCTGGGATATAAAATACTTAAAAACACCTTTTATCAATGCCGATTTTACTCAGTGAGAAACTTTGGTTTTTAAGTACTAAAAGCTTTCCCCAGATCAAGCCATTGCTTCAAATTTTGAGAGCAGCTTTTTGTGCATTAATTGTGCAATTAGCATGGGGAAGTTGTCAACAAACAAGGAATTGAGGAAAATGAAAAGAAGGGAAGATACAAAAATCAAACAAGATGAGGTTTTTCTCATATATGGAAATTATTCCAGGAAAAAAAGAACCATTTAAATTGCCAATTTAACTGCCTGGCAGATGAAAGCACACAGAAAACACTTTTACAACAGACAAAACAAGAAGCAGCACCCTCTGCCATGCCAGGGTGGGCAGTGGCTACGTTACCTCTTGGTCAATGGTTTTGTATCCACACATAGTGTTGATAATGTCTGTCTGAAAAAGAAAACAACAAATATGAACTGCAGCAGGAAACTAAAACCACAGAAATATTATTTTTACCCTGTGCTCACCCAGCTCATAGAAAAGCAATGACAGGATTATTTCCCAGCCCAACAGTCAGATTTAGTCAGAGCTCCACAGGATTTTAGAGCAATGAGTATTGTCAGTGTGTCACTGACAATTTGAGCCATTGCTACCCAACAAAAGCAGGGTGGCACCAGCATCCAAACCAGGCTGTGACAGAGCTGTGTGACACAGCTGCTCCCACAGGATGAACAGCTGGATTTCCTTTTAGAGCCTCAAGAACTTAACACACCTTATTACTAAAACCAGGGGTTAACACAGCCTTCGTGCCAAACTGATGACAAATTCAAGCTCAGAAATATTTTCAGTTCCAAATAACTTCCAATACTATGAATGCTGTTTACAACACTAAATTCATTGAAATATCCATACAATACCATTATATACATGAATATAACACTCATATGTTTAAAATTAGTTAAAATGAGACTCAGTGCTTGCATTCACCACATTTTCTGCAGCCTTGTAATGCCTTCTGTGGGTTGCAAGGCTCTACCTTGAAAGCCTGGAAAAGCCAACCTGAAAATCATGAAAATGAAAATCATCCAGGACGCCGTGGCATAAGCAAATGCACATGGGGAGATAAATGCATTGGAAACAGAGGATTGTAAGCATTTGGGACTAATTTCTATCTGCTCCACTAATGTAAGTGTTTAATAAATAATCTGACATGAAGATAGCTCCTTTAGAGCCCAGCACTGGCTGCTGTTAGCAGGAGGCTTTCACAGAGGATCAGAAGCCAGGCACCCACACGAGCTGGAGTTTTCCATGACTACAAAGCCCATGAGTAATCACAAACCACATCTGCAGCTTTCCAGGACAGAAACCAGCCTGTATTTGGAAGGATTTGTCAAACACAGCAAGATTGATGCACCTTCTGGTTGTTTTCCTCCTGGGGCAGCCATGCACAGCTCAGAGCCACCAGCCCTCACCATGCAGGGACCACACTTCCATCTGGGGCTTCTCCTGCCTTCCTTCAACTTCCCTGAGCTCCACACTTCATGGGATACAAGCAGCTAATCCTCCCTTCCCCAGCTGACAGTGAACAGACTCCCTGTTTTTCCCTGGAGAAGTTTTTATTTCAGCGTCTTTCCCTGGAGAAGTTTTTATTTCAGTGTCTTTCCCTGGAGAAGTTTTTATTTCAGTGCTTTCCCCTTCTCCTGAAGGCAAAATCCTGAGCTGTTCTGCTCCATTCAGCTGCAGGTTCTTTCTCTCAAAGCATCACTGTTCAGCTTTGGTTTGTGAGACTAAATCAAAGCTCATCACAGATTTAAACAGACCCATTCCCACCCACCAAAAATGAGTGTGCACATGTAATAAACACCTTCCTGTGACAGACATTTCTCAGCAACACCCAGCAGGATTACTGACACAACTATTGCATTTATTTTTCCCTTGTTTTTTAATAAACAGCCATGCTCAAGGCAGATGTTGAAAGGGCAGCCCAAATGAGGCAGCAGCAGGATATCCATCACAAACTCTGCTCTTACACACACCAAATCTCTCTATCCCATGATCAGACCAAACCCCAGAGAGACAGGGGCTGCCTGTACTGGAGTAGCTGAGGAATTGTTCTTTATCAAATTCAGCATTACATGCATCCCTCAGATGAAGAGCAGTGTATTACAGAATCAATTCAAACACAGTGGCATGAAAATCAACCCTTGCTCCTGGTGCTGCCAGTTCATCACAGACTGAGAAACTGGTCCAGCCTCCAGCCCCTCCAGGATTTTACAGACAGGTGGTTTTCAAGGATAGGTTGGGACAGACCTGTGCCCACAAGCATGCCCTCAGCCTGAGGTCACATTTTTGGGTTATTCAGGAGATGACAAGGTCATTTTGAGTGGTTTTTAATTCACTCTGACCCCCCAGCCATGGAAGCCACCAGGGCCCAGGCTGCCTGGCAAAGCTGGAGCTGCAAACCCTGGGGAAAACACCAACAAAAGTGAATTTTAAGCAGCTCTGGTTCAGGTGAGCCACGAGATCAGTGGAGCTCCCAACATCCCTGTTGGGATCCTCTGGTAGGTGAGTCAGTGAAACGGACCACAGCCACCACATCTAATCCATTATTTCCTCCCTCTCAAGCTGTCAAGCCCCACAGATCCATCATGGGAGGAAAGGATGTTTTCCTTCACTTCTTGGCCCAGATTTCCTGAAATCAGCTCCTTTTTGGGTGAACAAAGCGCCAGGACTCACCTTGTTTCTGATGCAGCAAGTGTAGGGCACCCCACAAGCCAGTGGCCCTGGAGCCTCACAGTTGTGGTACACGTTCTGAGACCAATCTCTATAATCCTCCCCACCACAGCACTTGAACTAGAGAGAAAAACAAAAATAAAATTTTAAAAAGTCACAAAACTCAATGATCTCTAAGGCCTTCTCCAACCCTATCAGTTCTACGATTCCAAAAGGAAAAGGAAAACAAAATTTCTACCTTAAACTCTTTGAAAACAAAGTGAGAATAAAGCAATTTTAAAAGCCCTGAGCTACCAAAAAATTCTATTTCCAGCTCTGGCCATCATTCAGCAGTGCTTTTACATTGACCTGCAATCTACCTCTGCAGTTGTTTTAAGGGTTCCAACCACATTTCCAACTGCATCTAAAAGACAAAAGCATTGCTCCAAGGCATAAATTCATCTCACCAAAACATTGTGGGTGTAATTTAGAAGAACTGAAAGCTGGCAAACAAGTGCTCCAAGTTTACACTGACTTAATATAAATATTCCCTTTATAATTTAAACCAAGGGGAAAGGAGGAGCTCATTTCATCACTAACATGAACACAGCCATCATTTTGGGCAGTGCATGGAAAATTTAAAGCATTATGAAGCCTAATGACAAAATTTCCTCAGGATGCTCTGCTTCTGACAGACTTTCCATGCTAACTTTGTTTTCCCAAGCAGGCTGCCATCTCCATAACGATGTCCTAGAACATATGGAGCACTTCCTAAGTCAATTTTTTAAATTACCATTACTTGGCATGGTCACAGACATCTCACATGGGCCCTGACATCACCTTGCTCAACACTTGTTGCTTCTCCTACAGCCTCTGAGCTGCATGGCAGAGCTCTTCAATAACCCAATAAACATTTCAACAGATCAGCCTCATTAAAAAATAAAATTAAAAAAGGCTGTGAGTCAACGCCACGTGCCATTAAGTAATGGCCAGCTGGGCTCAGCACAGTTTCTGGATTTTAATGACAGGTAAATGCTCTTCCAGTGGTGTTTCCCAGAGCTCTGTGCATGCCCTCGAGCAGCCACACAATGGTGGCACCCTAAATGCCACCTTACTTCTTTTTATTTCTCTTTCTCCAATGCCTCCTGTTAACAAGATGCTTCTCAACCTCCTGCACCAGCCAGCAGAAGCAGTGCCAGGCATGGCTGGGATTTAGGCTGAATTCACCTCAATCCAGCTGTGGGGCCTCTATAAACCTACAGGTTTGTGGGATCTGACCCTGAGCATTAGAATTGCACCTGCCAAGGCAAAAGCTGCATTTTGGGCCTCTCTTTTTGCAGTGATGTGAGAGGGTTTTAAGTTTTGAAACCATTTCAATGGTTTTAAATCCAGCTGGAATGCTGGATGAGCCCTGACCTCAACAGCAGCACCATGAGAGACGACAGACAAAATCTCATCCCCCCTCATCAGTAACAACCTGATTGGCACACTACTGGAAAAACTCAAAATTAGTCCAAGGGGAAAACAAAACAACAAACCTGCTTTTGAACAGAATCCATGATGTTCTTGAAGTCTAAATCATCATAGTAATTCTCAATTCCTCTTCTAATGTTATCATTCAAAAATTTGATTGTCTAGAAAGCAAAAGGAAAAACAAGATCCATGGGTTGCACAATGGGCACATGGGCTGGAACAGAATTAGAAGAGCAGCTTAAAGTGACAAGTGTAACCGATGTCACCACCTTCCAGGAATTTTATTTTCCGTGAATTTTCCATCAATTTGATTTTCCTAAGAGTCCATAAGTGCCAGATAGAGAGCTTTGCTCCAGATGGAGTGGAAAAAAAGGTGTGTTTGTATGTTTTACAGTGGTTGTTTTGAGAAATACGGTAGTGTGGCGACAGCAGATGTAAAATGGTGTCTCCTCAGGAACACTAAAATTAAATCAACAAAGTGTTTTTAAAGTTCAGAAGATGAGAGAAAAGGAAAAAAAAAAAAAAAGAGAATTTAGTTTTCAAGATCCAGCACAATCTCAGCACAGCAAAACCAGGGACTAATCACTACCAGAATGCAACAACTTTCCTTTCAATCCAGCTGCTGAAATGACAAAGTTAAAGCCTTACAGCTCAGAAAACCTGAAACACACCCACTCATCTTCTCAGTATTACAAACTGCAACACCCACAAACTAACCAGAACAAAAAGGATTATCACATCAGTGATGAGAAATAATACAGGACCCTCCCAATTGGTCAAAAACCTCATTTAGAGTCTACGGATTTGAAAAGGAAGTAGAGAAAGAAATGGGGAAAATGCACATGACATGCAAAACAAATAGGACATACATAGAGGCTACCACAGTAAGCTTCCACAAATAATTTCTTGTTCTCCCCACACTAACCCAAACTTCTCCACTAACCTTGAAAAACAAGGGAAGAAAGCTGTCCCTAAGTGTAGCTGTCCTGCTATAAATCAAAGCATAGACATCTAGTCTTTGCCATAGTGAATACATTTATGTTTTAAAGCATTTCTAACTGAATAAAATAGTCTGCTGCTTTCTGTGCAGAAAAATCAAGGGTTGAATACAGCTATAGCATGCTTGTCAGTGATGGAGTCTCCTATATAAATTTGTTATGTTGCTTATGGACGTGGGCAGGGAAGGGCTGTCCTTTACTGAGGCAAAACATTTGGGCCATTAAAGAACAACAGCCTCCAAATCCGCCTGGAAACGTCCCAAATCCGCAGCCAGACCCAGATGGCCAAACAGAAGAAAGCATTTTGTCCTCCACCAAGAGCTGGAAACTCATTCTGCCTGTATTGCACATTTGTAGCCACCAGATTTCCTCCAAGCTCCTTAACCTGGAATTCCTCTCCAGAACGGTGGCAAACCCCATGGCTGAGCCCTGAAAAGCATTTCCTTATTTC